ACAATATATTTAAAAAATATTGATTTTATTTGATAAAACAGTTAATATTTATTATTTAATAAATTAAAATTAATTTATGAATTAATATTTTTAAATATTATAATCAATTGTTTAAAAAAATTTATAAACATTAATCAAATTGAACATAATTTGTGTAAACCATTTAAAACCATAACCACGCCCATGTTCCATGTGCAACTTCAGAATTTTGAAAAGTTTTTGGGTGAGTGTTTTTGCTTCCATTTGATATAAAAATGGGTTGAATGGGGTTAGTTTGTAGGGAAGGCAGGATCAAGGTTTTTAAAACCGGACCGGACCGGCCGGTTGAACCGGTCGGACCGACCCGATAATGAAAACGGTTCGATTTACATAAGAAAACCATTTGATGTCAAAACCAGTCAAACCGATGAAACCGGTGGAACCGGTGGAACCGATAGAACCGGAAAAACCACCGGTTCAATTTCTCATGCCTGTTTTTTCCAATTTCACCCCCACCATCCCTTTCTTATACCGATTTTAACCCTTACTTTTAACAAAATTACAAAATCATCATGCCCCAAATTAGAAAACCCTCGAGCTGGACGACTCCTCCGGTCCTCCCAAGTCCCAACCGAAGTTCTCTGCCTCTCTGGTCTCTACCCTCACCTACACCGCCGGCGCTCCCCTCCCTCTCTGCTGTGTACGATCGCCGACGTTGCTCTGTTGCTCTCTGCTTTCTGCAGCTGTTGATCTGCAGCCCTCACCGAACCTGCTCTCTGCCTTCTGCTAATGCACTCTCGCCGGAGCTGCTCTCTGCTCTCACCGAATCGAAGCTGCTATCTGCCTTCTGCTGATCTGCTTTCTGCTCTCTGCCTTCTGGTGATTTTCTCTCACCGGAGCTGCTCTGCTTTATGCTGATCTACTCTCACAGGAGTTGCTCTCTGCGTCTGCTGTGCTGTCTGCGGATCTGCTCTCATCGGAAGTTCGGAACTGCTTTCTGCTGATACTTTCTTTCACTTCAGTTCATCGACCCTGCTTTCTGCTGTTCTGCTCCACCGGCGCTTGTCTCTGCTCTCACCGACGCCGGTCACCTTCCGTCTGTATTATTTGCTTGCTTACTAATTAAATTTTTATCCATAATAATTGAATCCAATTAACTTTTAGAATTTTAGAAGTTTTTATAATTTATGTGTGGAATTTATTTTCTATGGAAATATATGTTCAACCCTAGATCTAGTAAATCTTTGGAGTCATGCGTGGATTCTTGTTCTTGGATGTGATTCTTGTGTATATTATGTTGTCATCAAAATCTGAATGTATTAAGATATTTAATTCTGGAGATGATACTAGAAATTTCAAAATAAATGTGGTAGATTATTTAGAGGAAAGTTGATGGAAAAAGAAAATAATTATTTGGAGTAAATAGTCTAAAGTTTAGTGATATGAGGGATTGTCGTTTTGATATTTGCACGATTATGCCCTTTTTTCTACAGTAATCTGTGAAAGAAATTGTATTGAGTTGTCATGACTTGGTTGGGGTTGGAATGATCTATTTGTTTTTGGATTTGAAACTTGTATTATTTGCTTGCTTACTTGTTTTTTTCGTATGTATTTTGTTTTGAGAATTAATATTGAGATTATTTGATGAGTTTTAAAGGTAAAAAATATAATATATTTATGTTAAAAAGTTGTGAAAAATGGTCAAAAGGGCAAAAACTAATGTTGAAGACTTGAAGTGTTGAGTACTGGAAATGGAAGCTGCCCGCCTGTAACCTGCAGATCTGCCTTGTTGTTTGAACCGGCCGGTTCACCGGTTCAACCGGTTGAACCGGTTAAACCAGGAACCGGACCTGAAAACGGTTCAATGACCGGTCCGGTTCTAAAAACCTTGGGCAGGATAGCCTCCTCCATTCTATTGTGTTTCCAACAAAGAAACATTTTGCGATGGTGTAATCGAAAGGACCCACCTACCCACCACAAAATCTAATTTCTCCGAAGTTATGAACAGTATATGAGAATGCAATGAGGAAAGGCAGATTCCTTCACTAAACAAATGAACACACAGTGTGTATGAACTAGAGAAAAGAATGGAGGATGGGCTAAGTAAACAGACTCCATTTTTAATGATTCAAAGTTTGAGACCCCCTGTTTAAGGAAAGTTCAAAACAAGAATACAAGATTATAGCAATAAAGGCAACAAACCCAACTGATTTATGGATTTACAGGCCTATTTGGTGCAACTTGTGAGAAGGACTTTTTGGTTTCAAAAGCACAAACTACATCAAACATTATAACTTGTGAAAAATGCTATAATTTCTTATAAGTTAGTGTTTTCTCCATTTCCTTGCAAATCTCAAAAGCATTGAATTGGTGCTTCTACAAGAGCTTCTCATTTGATTTTTAATAAAATTAAAAACAGTACTTCTACAGTAGTTTCTTTCCAATAAAACTTTTATTAAAAGCTCCAACCACACCAAACAGGCACACTACTACATAACAAATCACTAAAATTTACGATACCTGTAACGCCTGGAGTGCAAGTTTAGATCAGGTCTCCACCACTGGCGAATGCCATGGGCATTCTTGCAATCCTTAGTAGGAGTTTCATTAACTGTCAGATTTGCAGAAGGAATCAAGTGGAAAGGCTCTGCAGCTTCTTTATAGTTCCCCACAGCACTCTTTTTTAGACTCTTTAGTAGACTCTTTAGTAGACTCTTTAGTAGAATCTTTAGTAGACGTCTAAATGAATGTTGTGTTGCTATTTTCTCAATACATCCAGCTCCAATCTCCTCCATCTTTTCCCTATGCTCAAAATAACAAAAATATTCAGAGCATATGGGGTCGGCTGGATTGACAAATAGATGAGGCAACCATGGAGACAAAGCAACAAATGAATCCTCAGACACATTCCCCTGGTTCTGATTCTTTGCCTCCAAAAGGGCTAGTGCTGCTGTGATTTCACTGCGTGCAATTCGGATCCCATCCTTCCAATTCTTATTTTTGATTTTTTCAATTAGGAAAAAAACAAAAGAAACAAAAGGATCAAAAGGTGGATTGAAGAGGAATGATTCTAGAAACATGCGTGTTTTGGCCATAGTCTTTCCAGCGAGCAGTGCAATGGCTGCCCCTAAGGAATGTCCAGCTAACCAGACTTTTGAATCACCAACAGCAGCTACCATTTTTCGAACAGCTTGCATGGCAATCTCAAAGCGAGATGTTCGGTGGAGTTTATTTAGGAATAAGTGCCAATTCAGCTCACAGTCTCTTATGAAAGTGCCTTTTTTCTTCAAGGTACCTCGGAAAGCAATTACATAACGAGGGCTCTGTTCAATTGAGTCATTATAATCAGAGGTCGGAGGTTTATATTCATAAATGGCACCAAAGATGGAACGATCAGCATCATCAACAAGTGGACGAAGCAACTCAAAATGAAAGGACTTCCACCAAGGAGGAGCCAGAGCTCGTGAACCTACACGGTTCTTCTGGCGGTCACGCTCCATAACGTAGACGCCCTGAACCAAACAGGCTAATACAGACCTTTGATGATCTTCATTCGTCCTGCACAAGACAGTTATTTCAACAACCATTTTGCTAAGACAACGGCTTCATTTAAGAACAATGGGCTGTAGTTATAGCCATAGGGTTTTTGGTCTTTTAATATCCCAAAAATATATAAAATATATTTAATATAATTATTATTTATTTTAATTAATATTTTATACATTTTTTGGATAGTAAAAAGACAGAAAAACCTACAGCTAAAGCAA